CAAGCTTGCCTCAAGCTTGCCTGAAGCCTGCCCCAGGCCTACCTTGAGCTTACCCTAGGCTTACCTTAGGCTTGCCTTTCGCTTGCCTTGGGCTTACCCCAGGCCTACCCTGGGCTTACCTTGGGCTTGCCTTGGTGCTACCTTAGGCCTCCCCTCGACTTAATTAACCCTAGGCTTGCCCTGCGCTTACCCTGAGCTTGCCTTTAACCTTCTCTGGGCTTACCTCGGGCTTGCTCTGGGCTTGCCCTGGGCTTGCCCTGGGCCTACCCTAGGCTTACCCTAAGCGTGCCCCAGGCTTGCCCTAAGCCTCCAAGCCTGCCCGAAGCTTACCTGAAGCCGACTTTTGGCTTAACTTGCGCCTGCCCTGGGCTCGCCCTGCGCTTGCAGTAAGCCTGGCCTAGGCCTACCCTAAGCCTACCCTTAGCTTAGCCTGGGCTTGCCTTTTGGCCTGCCCTGCGATTTGCCCTGCGCTCACCCTAGGCGGTGACGGGCCCACGGGGGGCAGGCCCGCCCCCCCCCCCCCCCCGAGCGCGGGCTGCATTGAAGGGGCAGGAATGCGGGGAGGCGGGCCCATAGGAATATGCAAGACATGGTGCAGCGGCCAGGTCCCTCGATTAGACTTCGCCTGGCAGGGCGCCTGGCGTGGCTGGGTTCAACTCCGCCCCCCCCCCCCCCACCCCGCGCGGCCCGCTCCACGGGAGGTGGGCCCACTCGCGCGCCTGCTAGGCGCGGGCCCACGGGAGGTGGGCCCGCCCCCACGCCTGCCAGGCGCGGGCCCACGGGAGGTGGGCCCGCCCCCACGCCTGCTAGGCGCGGGCATCCCAGGAGGTGGGCCCGCTCCCACGCCTGCTGGGCGCGGGCCCGCGGGGGGTGGGCCCGCCCCCACGCCTGCTAGGCGCGGGCCCAAGGGAGGTGGGCCCGCCCCCAAGCCTGCTAAGCTTGGGCCCGCGGGAGGTGGGCCCGCTCCCACGCCTGCTAGGTGCGGGCCCGCGGGGGGTGGGCCCGCTCCCACGCCTGCCAGGCGCGGGCCTGCGGGAAGTGGGCCCGCGCCCACGCCTGCTAAGCGCGGGCCCACGGGAGGCGGGCCCGCTCCCAAGCCTGCTGAGCGCGGGCCCGCGGGAGGCGGGCCCGCTCCCACGCCTGCTAAGCTTGGGCCCGCGGGCGGCGGGCCCGCCCCCGCGCCTGCTAGGCGCGGGCCTGCGGGATGCGGGCCCACTCCCACGCTTGCTAGGCGCGGGCCCACGGGAGGTGGGCCCGCGCCCGCGCCTGCTAGGCGCGGGCCCACGGGAGGTGGGCCCGCTCCCGCGCCTGCTAGGCGCGGGCCCGCGGGAGGTGTTCCGCGCCCAAGCCTGCTAAGCGCGGGCCCACGGGGGGTGGGCCCGCTCCCACGCCTGCTGGCGCGCGGGCCCGCGGGAGGTGGGCCCGCTCACGCGCCTGCTAGGCGCGGGCCCGCGGGGGGTGGGCCCGCCCCCACGCCTGCCAAGCGCGGGCCCACGGGCCGCTCCCACGCCTGCTAGGCGCGGGCCCGCGGGCGGCGGGCCCGCTCCCACGCCTGCCAGGCGCGGGCCTGCGGGAGGTGGGCCCGCCCCCGCGCCTGCCAGGCGCGGACCCACGGGAGGTGGGCCCGCTCCCACGCCTGCTGGGCGCGCGCCCACGGGGGGTGGGTCCGAGCACGTGCTTACCCGAAGCTTGCCCCACGCCTACCCCAAGCCTACCCTAGGCTTACCCTACGCCTGCCCTGCGCCTACCCGAGGCTTGCACTAGGGCAAGCCTAGGCTCGCCCTGCCGACCTGGGCGCCGATGAGCGTCACTTTCCCATCAGCCGCTTTGACATTTTGCCTCACTCCCCCCACCGCACCATGCGCAGCCGTGGATACAATCGAATGCACTGGAACTTCCTGAGCGGGCCCGCCCCCGCGCCTGCTAGGCGCGGGCCCACGGAAGGTGGGCCCGCCCCCGCGCCTGCTAAGCGCGGGCCCCGCGGGGGGGTGGGCCCGCTCCCACGCCTGCTAGGCACGGGCCCGCGGGAAGTGGGTCCGCCCCCACGCCTGCCAGGCGCGGGCCTGCGGGAGGTGGGCCCGCGCCCACGCCTGCCAGGCGCGGGCCCACGGGGGGTGGGCCCGCCCCCACGCCTGCTAAGCGCTAGGCGCCCCCGCAGCCTCCAGAGGCTTTCCAGGAGACCCTGAATTGATGGCGCCAGCGAGCTTGGGGCCGCAAGGTCCTTGGCTTCTGGGCACAGCAGGCAAGGCACAGCAGACACAGGCATCTCCTCCCCTCCCCCCGCCTGCCTGAGGCAACGCAGTGAAATGGGAAAGTGCAATAGAATAGGGCGAGCAGACTACGCAATAACCCCCCCTTCCTTGGAAGAATATCGACATCGTAGTCAAATGGGGCATTTCACCTCCCACATTCTGACCTTCTTGGGTTCAATTCCTGGTGGTGCCTGTGGGGCCTACTTGCTGGAGGTTGTCATGGCATTGACAGTGACATTTCAGGGGAAATCACTGTAGAAAGGATTCTGTGCAAGTAAAGCCTTTTTGATCTCTGTAGAGCTTTGCGTACCGAGGAATTCTGGAATTTAGATAAATGAGCGCCGTGTGCGGGGACGCGCTGCGCAGAGGCAAGAAAAATTCGGGGCCCCTGGATGAAACCGAAGGGCCCCCGGAGTATGGGAGATTGCCCCATTTTACTACAATGTCGATATTATTTCAGGGAAGGGGGGGTGTGGGCTTAGTCTGCTCGCCCCGTTCTATTGCATTTTCCCATTTCACTGCGTTGCCTCAGGCAAGCGGGGGGGGGGGGGGAAGCAGAAGCAGCAGCAGCAGGGGCAGCGCCCCCTATTTGTTTTGCATTTTTGTCCTGGTGAGGGCTGCAGCCTCAAGGCCTTGCAGGCACACCAGAGGGTAGCGCGCATCTGCGTCTGACAGGGGGGCCCTGTGCCAGGCGCCCACCTTGCATGGGGGCCCCATTCCTGATGGTGCCTTTGGGGCCTGCTTGGGAGCGCAGGACGGCCCCGCGCACCCCCCGCCCCCTGGGGACAACTGGAGCTTCCTGGGGGCTGGGCTGGCTCTGCTGGGGCGGGGCCTGCGGGGGCTGGGCGCGGCCCTGAGGCAGCTGCGGGGCCACGCATCTGGAAGCGGAAGCGGAGGCAACGCAAAATCCATCGAGCAGCCGGGCTTGTAAGACCACGCCCGGCTGTTTGTTTCAAGCAGCAGGCGCGCGGCGCGAGCGTGTGCGAGAGTGTGGGGGATTCCTGCAAGCAACACTCCAGGAGGCCCCGAGATAGCGAAGAGCGCCTTCGGGGCAGCTCCGACGGCCCCGCGGGCCTCGGCGCCGCGCCCCCTCTTGACAGCCCAGCGGAGCCCACAGGCGGCCGAGGTGGCGCCCAAGGCGGCCTTCAACGGCCCAAGAAGGCCCCCAAGGCAGCCCAAGAGAGACCCACGAGGCCCCCCAAGAGGGCTCAGAGGAGCCAAAACCATGGATGTCCCAGGAGTGTTTGGAAGTGTTTCGACGTTCTCGCCTTTTCGGCCGTCCGATTCTACAAGACGGCCCAAGGCCCCCAATAACGCCCCAAGGCGGCCCAAAAGGCCTCCAAAAGGGCCCCGAGGCAGCCCAAGAGGGCCCCAAGGCGGCCCAAGAGGCCCCCAAGACGGCCCAAGCCCCCAAGAGGCCCCCAAGAGGCCCCCAAGAGGCCCCCGTTCCGCTGCCTGTCCCTTCGGCAGAATGGGACTATGTGCGGCCGTGCCATTGGGCCGCTGGGAGCATTGTGGCCCACGCTGCTTTTGAGCGCCGCGCCTCTGCTTCACTAGGGAGTGGCAGGCCCCCGTTGGCTCTGACCTCCTCTTCTCCCTCTCTCTCTGCACAAGGGAAGCACTCTCCACCCTACTCCTTCACTCAGCAAATGACCCCGCGTCTGGACCAGCCAATATGACCCCAACGCTGGAGGGCGACCAAGAAGCGGACTACGCGTCGGCAGGGCTATAGTGCCTGTGCGCTATGACGGCATACAATCGTCGTAACGCCAGGCTGAGTTCAACAAAGAAGTCCTGGCCCCTCCCTTCTCCCTCTTGGCTACTGGCGTCTGCATCCCCCCTCCTTCTTCGGCCCTCCCTCATCCCGCCTCGCCTCTCTCTCCCTCTCTCTCTCTCTCTCTCTGTCTCTTCGTTTCTCGACCATTGCTCCTGCGTTCTCGCTCCTTGCTCCTTGCTCCTCGCTGATCGCTCCTTGCTTCCTCCTGCCCCTCGACACTGACTCCTCGCTCCACGCTCCTCGGTCCACTCACGAACTCCAGGTTGCGTCAGCTGACAAGGGCACCCAGAAACAACACTCTGCAGCCTCAAGCAGCAACAGCGAACTGCAACATTCTTCAGCAAGCGGCGGCACCACACGGCAACAAGCTCGTACATACATATATAATTAAAAAAGCTGCGGGCAGCAGCAGACGAGGCGCATGCTGGGCCCAACGTCGTCACGAAAGCCTTCCGGCAGCATCCCTGCCCCGGCCCCGCGTGCCGCCTCGGACAGATCGGCGGCGAGCGAGGGGGGGAAGCGACGAGGAGGGAGACGGCCGCCCCACAGAGCGGCGGGGCTTCTCGGAAGCCCTCGGGCCCTCTGAGAAGTCTTCTGCGTCCTCGGGGAAGGCTCAGACAGCTTTCGGCGGTGGACAAACCTCCCTCTAGCAAACCGCCCCTTGGTGAAAACGGCCTAGGATTGAAACCGACGGACCTGGACCCGCGAAAATGACGGCCGCGACGCCCTCTCGCGAACCGAAAACAGCCAATTCCTTCATCGACGTGTCAGGGTAGGAGGCCTATCAACCTCCGAAACTTCTCATTGGCCAGGGGAATTCCCACTTCTCCCCTCCGCCCGCCGCCGAGCAGATCTCGTGGCCAGAAGACCACGGGCCAGCCCTAGTCAGCCATAGCGCTGGGAGCAGCTCGTGCGAGCAGGGCGGGCAGGAGCACCAGCGCTGATCCATGAGACGCGGAAGGCAGGGCGACGGAAGGAGTCCTTCAAGAACGCGACCTGCTTGACGTTGATGGCTCCCCTCCGCACCTCCCGTATCTTCTCGACCTGGCGGGGGCCGGGCCCGAGGAGACGAGAAGCGTGGGGAGGATGAGGAAGGGAAGAGGAGGAGGAGGAGGAGGAGGACGAAGAGGAGGAGGAGAGGACGACGACGAGGAGCACGAGGATGATGAGGAGGAGAAGCGAGGAGGAGGGGGGGAAGAGGGGGGAGAAGTGGTGGTGGTGGCTGCTTGGTAGGCATCGGATGAGGCCGTGAGCACAGCCCGCTTAGCGGCACCCCGCACTACGAACCTGGTCCAAGAGAGCCCCGGGGGCGTGCCACCCCTGAAGCGCCCCCTCCCCCCACCTCGACTGTTGGCAGGTGAGCTGCGTCCGCCTCCTGTACCTGAGTGGGAGTCTCGAGACTGGGAGAGAGCCACAACTGGGAATCCTGCATGGGGCGAGAAATGCGATGAGATCCCTTTTCATTCCTGGAGCGCCCCCCGCGGCCGCATGTGAGCGGCGAAAAGACACGGGCCTTACGCGAAACGACGCAGCGACCTCACGCAGAGGCTTACGCAGGGCGCGCCCGCGCGGCGCGGCGCGCTGCCGTGGAAACGGGGGCGCCCGCGGGCGGCCTTTCGAGCGGGCCGCCTGCGCGCCAGAAAGTCCGTGCGGAGCGACCCCTTTTTGGTTGGCGCCGCTCGCGTGCTGGGAGGTCACCGCCGAGACGGAGGCGCCATGGGCAGTGTGAGAGATCCAGGCTCTGAGTATTGATGGGCCTGTTTCCCACCATCACCACCATAAGTTGAAGGGGGGAAGGAGGAAGACGAGGAGGAGGAGGAGGAGGACGAAGAGGAGGAGGAGAAGGAGGAGGAGGAGGAACCCCTCCCCCTCCAACTTATGGTGGTGGTGGTGGAAAACAAGCCCATCAAGTATCGTTTAACCGATCCCCATCCCCAGCGGCGTGGCCTGGACCCCACTGGCCGATTTTACCCCCCTGGATGGGGGAGATGGGTCGTTCCCTTCGGGCTTCGAGGGGTGTATCCCCGGCTGGGGTGGTAGTTTGGTGGGGGTCTCGAAGGGGATGGGGATGGGGATGGGATGGGGATCGGTTAAACGATACCGAGGCTCACCAGCAATGGGGTCCCTCCCGACCGCGCCAACCCCAGGGCCACCGCAGGGCGCAGCAGCGAGGCGCGGGGAGGAGGCTTGCAGGGAGGGGAGGGGTGGGGAACGAGGAGGATCGATGATCCTCAGAACGCGTGTTAGCACCAACGCGTGCTTGTGCACCAGAGCGGCGCAGGCGGCGCAAGAAGAACCGACACAGACTGTGCGCTGTTGGCAGAGCTCAGCGGGAGAAGACACGGACTGGGCTAAGACACGTCCTGAGGATCGTCGAGAGGAGGAAGACGAGGAGGAAGCTGAAGACGACAACGGCGATGACGGCAGCGACGTCCGCCGCTGTCTCCTCGAGACACGAGCAGGTCTGGGGCGGAGGAGGACCGCGTCCATGTAGTCCATGCGGGTCATCTCGATCAGCGCCACGGCCGCCAGGACGGGCGCCCTCCCCAGCCCGGCCAGGCAGTGAACGGCAACCACTCCCGAGTCGGCCTCGGGGCCGGGCGGGAAGAGAAGGCGGCGACCCGCGCACGCGCCTCTGGCGCCTCCCCCCCGAGGGGAGGCCGCCGATGCACGCACACCGACCCTGGCAAGGCCCGCCCTGGGGCCCGGGATCGCTGAAGGTGTGCAGCCGACGCCTTCCGAAGCCCCTGCCAAATGCCAGAGTTGAGAGAGAGAACATAACGAAGACACGCAAAACAGAAACAAGCCAATATATAGATATACACACATAGACACATAAACACATAGACACATAGACACAAACACACATACACAGACATACATACATACCTACATACATACATACATACATACAGACAGACAGACAGACAGACAGACAGACAGACAGACAGACAGACAGACACACAGACAGACAGACAGACAGACAGACAGACAGACAGACATACATCCATACATACATCCATACATACATACCTACCTACCTACCTACCTATCTACCTACATACCTACATGCCTACATACCTACATACCTACATACCTACATACCTACATACCTATCTACCTACCTACCTACCTACCTACCTACCTACCTACCTCCCTGCCTGCCTACCTACCTACCTACCTCCCCTCCCTCCCTCCCTGCCTGCCTGCCTGCCTGCCTGCCTGCCTGCATGCATGCATGCATGCATACATACATACATACATACATACATACAGACAGACATGCATACATACACGCACACATACATATATATATATATATATACATACATACATACATACATACATACATACATACATACACACACATACATACATACATACATACATACATACATACATACATACATACATACATACATACATACATACATACATACATACATACATACAGACTGCAGTGGCGCTTCGCGCCATGCCCCTTGGTCTTTGAAGTGTGGCATGGAGGCGAGGAAGGCCAAACCGACAGTTTAGCGATAACTCTTTGTTGCCTTTTCCGGCATCGTCGCTATAGTAATGTTATTCGCTATCCTTCCTCCATGCTTCTTTTTCCTCATTTTCGCAATACCCTGCGCATTCGCCCCATCCTCCTCAGCCCTTTTTGCGGAGGCTCCTCCGTGGAGAGCCTCTGGGGGCCTCGCAAAAGTTGTTTCAGGCTTTCTTAAAGCCTTCTGGAGGCCTCCTTGGCGTATTCTGGGGGCCTCTGGGGGCTTCCTCGGGCCGTCCTGCCTCCAACCGCGGTCTCCCTGAACGACCAGGTCACGATTTGGAATGCTTCGGAAGGTGTCTTGGGGCCACCTTGGGCCGCCATGGGGCTCTCTGAGGGCCATCTTGGACCCGTGTTGTGCCGTTTGGGGCTCTCTTGGACTGCCTGGAAGCCCTTTCGGATGGTTCTGGGGCGGTTTGGAACCTCCCAGGCGGCTTCGGACGCCCAGAAGACCGCCGTCTTGGAGCGTCGGGAAGCCGAAACCAACAGAAAATCCATGATTTTTGCCTCTTGGGGCCTTCTTGGGAGTGCTCTTGGAGGCCTCTTTGGGGCCGTCCTGGAGGCCTCTTGGGCCATCTTGAGGTCACGTCGGTCACTTGGAGCGCTCTTGTGCTGTCTTGGGTGTCTCTGGACGTCTCCGATGACCCCCCTGATCGCCCTAGGTGTGCTGGGAAGGCTTGCCAAAACGCACTGCGAGGCCCAGGGGGCCGCTTCGAGGCCCGTCTGGAGGGTCCCAAAGCCCCAGATCCCGGGAGTCCGGTTTTGTGTGTGGGGGTGACGGTTTTTCCCCCCTCCCAGGCTTGCAAAAATATCGGAATCTATATATATATATATATATATATATATATATATGTGTGTGCGTAGATCATTGTATATATAAATATGTATATATATACATGTATATATATATACATACATATATACATGTATATATATAAATATTCACATACAAACATGCATATATAGAGAGAGATATGCTTTCACACATATATATATATATATATATATGCGTCGGGCCTGAGCTGGCTCCCGCCTCATCCGTCCCTGCCCCGACGGCCCCCCTAGTCTACTCGGCCCCGCTGCCCCCCCCCTGGCACCTTCCCACGCGCTGTTTCTTCGAAGGAGCGAGGGGGCAGCGGAGCAGGAGCGCGTTTCTTTATGTTCGGCGATGATGGGCGTCATGGGGGGGGTGCGAGGGAGGGTATGACGTAACGCCCCCCCCCCCGCCGTGTGGCTCCGGCACCGCAGCCGCGCCCGCGCGCGCGAGGCGACGAGCGACGAGCGACGAGCGACGAGCGACGAGCGACGACGACGACGACGACGACGACGACGAAAACGACGACGACGACGACGACGACGCGAGCAGCACGTAGGTGGCGATATGCCCCACTGCGCCTGTGTACACCACAACGCTCGCGTGCACCACAGCGCGCGTGTATACCACAGCGCCTGCGCACACCGCAAGAACCGTGTACAACGCAGCGCCTGTGTACACCACAGTGCTTGCGTACACTACAGCGCCGGTGTACATGTGTACACCGCATCAGCCGTGTGCAACACAGCACCTGTGTACACCACAATGCTTGCGTGCACCGCAGCGCCTGTGCACGCCACAGCGCGCGTCTACACCACAGCATCCGCGTGCAACGCAGCGCTGGTGTACACCACAATGCCTGCGTGCATAGGACAAGTAGAAGGAGCATGTATTCGAGGATCTGCTGCGGACGCCAGGACGAGTGCTGATAATCGAATGCGACGTTATTGTTTCCTCCCTCCTCCTCCACCTCCACCTCCACCAACTCCTCCCTCTCTTCCTCCTCCTCTTCCTCCTCCTCCTCCTCCTCCTCCTCCTCCTCCTCCTCCTCCTCCTTACCCCCTGTCGTGCGGGTTGGCGCCACAACGCACGTGCGCACTTCAGCGCGCACCGCAGAATGGTCGATTGAATCGGTCCACTTGGTTCTCGGACGGCCAACTTAGCTCGAGCCTCCCGGACGCAGATGAGAGGAGTTGGGGTGATGCGGGCGGACTCGGGGAAACTCGTAGATTCCAGCGACGCCCCGCTGTCCATAGGGATTATGTTTGAGTGTTTTCTGTGGAATCCACAAGCGCTCCATTTTGTCATAAAGATTCCCTACAGCATGCTGTATACAACAGTGGTGCTGTGTTGCACACGGTTGCTGCCGTGCACACAGGCGCCGTGGTGCATACAGGCACTGCAGTTCACGCAAGCATTGTGGTGTACACTGGTGCTGTGTTGCACACGGCTGACTTGGTGTACGCAGGCGCTGTGGTGTGCACGAGAGATGTTCTGCCCGCACGCACGGTGGCACAAACTGACGCTGTGTTGCACGCGGCTGCTGAGGTACACATAGGCGGTGTGGTGTACACAGGCGCTGTGGGGCACGCAGGCACTGCAGCGTACACAGGCGTTGTGGTACAAATCGCCACGTACATGCTGGCGCTACCCGTCCTCCGTCATTCGTAGGCATCCCCAGACGCCGACGCGAAACGTGGCGACATCGACCCCCTTCACCCCCCCCTAGATGATTGCCGTCATCGGCCCGGAAAAAAAAAACAGGCTTCAGCCGCGTCCGCGCGCACGACGACTATGAGCGACGAGCGACAAGCCACGAGCGACGACGACGACGACGAGGACGACGACGACGACGACGACGACGACGACGACGACGACGACGACGACGACGACGACGACGACGACGACGACTGCGGACCAGACTCCCATGCGGATTCCTACGCGGACACCTACGCGGATCCCAAAACGCACGGCGGCAGTGCCCGGAGCGCACTGGGGGGGGAGCGTTACGTCATAGGGGGGGGAGCGGGGGCCATGACGCCCGTCATGACCCAAGCAATAAAGAAATGGGCTCCAGGCAACGGCAAGAGATGATGGATGGAGGGATGGAGGGATGGAGGGATGGAGGGATGGATGGAGGGATGGATGGATGGATGCATGGATGGCACGCTCACCGAAGCGGTGACTGAGCCCAAACTTGGACGCCAGAGAAACTGCGCCGTCCCATCCTGGCCCGTCCAGGGCGAGGAACGGCCGAGCGAGCAGACGAGTCCCCAGACCACCCAGCGGTCCTGGGAGCCCTGCGGCGGAGCCACAGGACAGGACGAGGAAGAAGACAGAGGCAGCGACAGCGACAGAGGCAGAGAGACAGAGAGAGAGAGAGGCACAGACAGAGACAGAGGCAGAGGCAGAGGCAGAGGCAGAGAGAGAGAGAGACAGAGGCACAGAGAGAGGTGGAGGGACAAGGGTTAGGTCAGCCATGTACCCCTACAGGCGGATTTTGGACGAAAATCAAAATACGAAACAAACAATCAAACAATGCCCAAAAATTGTCAACAAAAATCCTCCCCCGACTTCTGTTGGTTTATTTCTGCATATTCCTCCGGTAGAGGGACACGCCCAACGTAAGATAAGAGGAAGGAAGCGGGTAGCCGCTAGGCGCCCCGCGGGATCTTTGGATCTGTACCTCCGCCTGGGGCACGGGGGGGCGCGCAGGGAGTGCTCCTCGCCCCCGCCGCCGCCCTGCCGGTGCCACCGTGCCCCTCGCCTTGGCCAGGGGGCTGCCCGAGAGAAGCGGAGCGAGCGAGAGAGACAGAAAAAAACAACTCAAACTTCAGCTTCAACCTCAGCTTCAAAACGGGGGGAGCAACGCGGACGGACGGGCACAGGGACGCGCCGAGACTGACCAGGAGGGATGGGCGGAGGCGCTCAAGCACAGAGGCAGCTCCTCATCCTCCTCCTCCCCTATCCTCCTCCTCCCCTATCCCCCTCCTCCTCCTCCTCCTCCTCCAGCGCCAAGAGAGGGGGCAGAGAGAGGGGGGCAGGCAGAGAGACGGGGGGGCAGGCAGGGGGGGGGGTGCCACCGAGCCCGTGGCTGCTGCAGGTGCGCGCGGGGGAAGGGGCAGAGCCAGACGCTCTCCGATCTCGACTCCTCTGTGCGCGGCCCCGAGAACTCCCGACCCCCTCCCCTGGGGCCGGGCTTTCGCCCTGGCTCCGCTCTGTGAGGGCCCCGCGGGCCCAAATCACGGGCCCCAGAGGTCGCAACCGAAGGGAACAGCACAGGGGGGGCAAGAGGCAGACAGAAGTGTCGTGGACAATCCGGGAGCAGAGGTTGCCACAGATCGGCGGTGGACAGACCTCCCTTTAGTAGACCTCCCCTTCGTGAAAACGGCCTGGGACCGAAACCGACGGACCTGGACCCGCAAAAATGGCAGCCGCGACGTCCTCTCGCAAACCGAAAGCAGCCAATTCGCTAATCGACGTGTCAGGGCAGGAGGTCTGTCCACCACCGAGAGATCGAAATCGAGGGGAACAGCACAGGCTGCAAAAGGCAAGCAAAAATGTCGTCGGCAATCCGGGAGCAGAGGTTGCCACAGAACTGGTGTTGTGGATGCCATGACAATGGACACTCTACCAATCCTATCATTGAATTAAAGATGTGTTTAAAATGTGCGGACGTGTTCTAAACATGTTTCAAGCATGTGTTTCACATCTTTAAAATATAATCGACTTCCACAATGCTTACCAGCGGTGGCCCTGGGCAGAGGCAAAAGCACCGCCAGCACACCCCACGCCTCAGCAGGTCGGTCCACCTCTGAATGGTCTCCTCCGGAGGCGCTGCGCCATCGGGGAAGGTCATCTCGTGCACCTGCCGCTGGGCCTCCTCCTCCTTCTCCTTCTCCTTCTCCTCCTCCTCCACCTCCTCCTCCTCCTCCTATTCCTCCATCCTCCTCCTCCTCCTCCTCCTCCTCCTCCTCCTCCTCATCATCATCATCATCATCATCATCATCATCATCATCATCATCATCATCAACATCATCATCATAATCAGCATCAACATCAGCATCAGCATCAGCATCATCATCGTCATCATCATCATCAGCAGCATCATCAGCATGGTCATCATCATCAGCGGCAGCATCATCATCAGCATCATCATCAGTATCATCATCCCTCCCCCCTCCCTCCCTCCCGCCCTCCCTACGAGTTACGAGCTAAGAGCTACGAGCTACGAGCTGCAGACTGTTCTGACCCGTCTGAGCCTGGAGCTCGCGGAAGGGGGTATCCGCGAGCGTGGGGAGACCAAAAGGTACCGATACTGCTACTCCCCGGACCTCTCCTGGGGTGCGTTCTGACCAGGATTTCGAGGCGAATCCAGCGGTGGCGACAACGGAGGCCCAGGAGGCCCAAAAAGGGGGAACCGAGGGGAGGGTAGAGGTATGGGTACCTTTTCCTCCTCCTCTCAGAGCAGGCGAGGCCGCGAGGGGGACGAACGAACGAGGCTGCCGTCGCCGGGAGGCGGCCGCCCCTGCAAGGTGGGCAGGCGCGCTGGCCGCGCGCAGGCCTTCTGCGAAGGCCACTCGATGGGGCGTCATTCCAAAAGGAACGCATGAAAATAGGGCGACGAAATCTATACATATCCACTGCTCCCTGGCCAGGCCAATCCTGAACCCAGCAGCTGTGTGTACGCCACGCCCTCCTCGCTTGGCCAAGAGGGCGTATACACCGCTGCTGGGTTCGGGATGGGCCTGGCCAGGAAGCAGTGGATATGTATAGATTTCGTCGCCCGAGAAAAAACGACCCCCGCCCCCCGCATGAAGAACTTTAGATGAGTCGGACCGTGAAACGACGCGCGAACTGCAAGCGGAAACAGCTCGACGGTCAGCCAACGACAGCGCCGCGCAGTTCAGTGCAAACGGCGTGCTGCTGCTATGCTCGTTGGCGTTTGATGAACTTGGCGTTGCCTTGTGCTTGCGCACTGTCAATGCCCAAGCTCATTGTGGATGTTCGTGGAGCGTGAAACGTTTGCACGAGCCGTCGTGCGGTCAGCGCCAGGCGTGCTGCAGGACATCCCGATCACTCTCCTGCCGGGCAGTCACACCCGAGGCTGCGAGGGGAGGTCCGGCGAAAGGCGGGACGGGCAACAGAACAGACGCACTGAGCACCGCTTCACCGATCGCTATCCCCGCTGGCGTGGCCTGGGCCCCACTGTCCGATGCACCCCCCTAAGTGGGGATGTATGAAGGGGAACTGGGACACATAAATAAATACACACAAATAAACAGATTCCCCATATGTTCCTGTATTTTCTGGGTTTTTGTCTTCCCCCCCACTTCCCATATTTTCCATATTTTTGGGGAAGCGACGATTAATTGTGTCTGTGTGCTTCTCTCCCTCCTGAATGTAATATGTTTCCTGTGGGTTTCGAAGAGCCTGTCCCAAACTGGGGCGGGGGGGAGTGGGGCTGAGCTACCATGGCCCGGTGGTGATATATATAATATATATATATATATATATATATTATATATGCCCTGAATCATCCCGCCCTCCCCTCCAAACCAGACCCCCTCCCTTGCCCAGACCTCCGGGGCATTGATAAAACGATACCCCTGAGGAATAGTTGTTTGTCTGCAGCGCTGGCGGACGCAAGCGCAAACGCAGGGTCTAGATGCGCACTGCCCTTGGAGAAGGCAATGGACTCCCAGGCACCCCGCATTGAGAAAACGGTGCAATGGATCTCTGGACCGGCTCCAACTCCGTCCCCTTCCCCTGCCCCCGTGTTTTTCCCTCCTGAATGACAAAAGCACGGATCGACTGCCTTCTACTCATGCTGTATCCCATAAACTCTTCGGGAGTAGGTGGTTTAAGGAGTCAGTTCTTCCAACCTCCTATTTCCCTTGGGGAGGAGGTTTGCCTCTCCCCCTCTACCCCATATCCCTGGGTCTGGACGGCACCGGTCGCGGGTCCTTGCAGGGTCCGAGATGGCCCGAGACGGCCCCAGGGGGGCCCCAGATAGCCCAAGAAGTCTTCCAAGATCGCACACGGTAGCACAAGATGGTTCAAGATAGCTTCCAACATGCTTCCAAGAAGCCCGAAAACCGACGAAACCTCTAAGGACCCCCCCCGAGAAGCCCAAAATGCGCGCAAAGCCAAAGGAATATCATCGTTGTCTGTCGTCACGCTTTTTCCCTGACGATGGATTCTTGAGGTCTCGAGATGGCTGCAAGATGTCCCGATGCAGCTCCAGCTCCAAGAGGGGCCCAAGAGGGGCCCAAGACGGCCACAAAAGCGCCCCAGGAACGCCCAAGAGGGTCCCAAAAGGCACTTTATCAGCTTCCGAGAGGGGCGTAATTGGCTACTCCCTTTCTTTGATGGATTGTCATGAAGATGACTCTAGAGGCCCCTCAAGGCCGCCAAGAGGACCCCAGAGAGCTCCAGAGTGCCTTCAGAGTGCTGCGAGAGAGCCCCAAAAGCTTTCCAACTGGCCCCACTGGAAGAGGCTCTCAGAGTGTGACTACATGCTGCTACATCTCACTGATCAGGGCAGCTCGCCTGGCGATTGCCTTTGGATGGGCTGGTGGGGATAGTTTTTTGGTCGGCGGCTCCGAGGCGGCGGACAGGGAGCGGTAGGCGTCGTCTGGGCCAGCAGGCGAGGCGAATTAGCTACAACAGGCAACGCACCTGCAGTAATAAATCGCTAAGAAAGCGAACGTGCACCTGCATTAAGCAAAATGCTCGATTAAGGCGAACGCACCTAGGCGCCAGCCGCACAGAGGTAAAGCAGCCGCAGTGCAACGCAGCGGAAGAGTCGCCCTGTCGGCGCCAGTCCGCGCAGCCAACCTAGCCGATCAGACAGGTAGCACCGAAGCGACACGCCGAAGGCTGAACCACTCAGCGCGACGTACCACCGCCGTACGCGGGGTAGGCTGAGACAGGGTAGGGACCTACAGAGCTCTCACTCCACGATCCACACCGCTGCCCATGGCGGGGCCGGTGCGTCAGCCATCGTTCCGAAACCAGTCACAGGCCAGCAACGATGAAAGGACACGTAGGCCCAAGCGCCCGTACTGCCGCCAAGCGGGTATCGGCCGAAGGTCGCAGAGGTACGCTGCTGCCGCGGCCAGCTCATAGACGCTGGGGGTGTAGTCAGGGCTGAATCTGACCACAGAGAGAGCCGGTGGACGGCAAGTACCAACAGAGCATCCACTCCGCGGACCGCACCGCCGACCGGGGGGGGGCCGGTGTGTCGTCATCGTATCCGAAACCAGTGACAGGTCGGGGCAGCAACGATGAGAGAGGACACGCTGGCCCGGGGCCGGTATACTGCAACCTCGCGGGGACCAGTCAGGATAGTCGCCGAGATTCGCAGCTGCCGCGACCACCTCATGAAGAGCTGGAACGCAGCTAGGGCTGGATCGGACCACGGGGTGGAGAGGGGGGGTGCAGCCAACAGCCGCAGTGTACACATGTGTCGGTTGGAGGGGAGGGTGCAGCCAACAGCCGCGATCAAACATGTCATACAAGCAGCTCGCACAGAGCTGAGGACTAGGGGGGGGTAGTGTGGGCTGCACACAGACCGCCGCCAGCAGAGTGGTGCGGCTGGTGGGGATAGGCGAAGCGTCCAGATCTTGTTGTGATTTTGCAATTATACCCTGACTGGGGTAGGCATACGCTGCTTGCTCACAAGCCACGCAAATACGCCCGCCGTACCCAGCGTGTGCTTCGTTTCCGCTGTGACCCTGCGTCGAACGGCTGCTCAGAGCGTGCCTTGGCCCCTGACAAACCGCCGAACGTGATTGTCCTCCCGCGATTCAGGCATTCCCGTAAGTCGGGCCTGTCCCCCTACAGGGGGATCTTGGAGGAAAAAGAACAAATACTCCAACAATACCCAAAAATGCTCAGAAAAATCGTCCCCAGACTATTTTTTCCCTATTTTTGAACATTTCCCCTGCAGAGGAACAGGCCCGACTTAAGCACTCCCCTGCAGGGAACTTTCGAAAGCATACGATCCAGTGCAAATCTGCCCCCGTGCCGTCGGCACGCTGGCACGTGTTACCCCAAGAGACCGCAGCAATCCTCCATGACACGCGTAAAGAAGCATCCAACGGGGCCCTCGGAAACAGAAAACTTAGCCGACCAGGGTCGGCGTGAGTGAGACGCTGTCGTCGTCCTGTCTCCTCCTCCTCCTCCTCCTCCTCCTCCTCCTCCTCCGCGTATTCCTCCTCCTGCTCGGCCTCCTTCTCGTCCTCCTCCTCCTCTTTCCCCTTCCCCCTCAGCCTCCTCCACTTCCTCCTCCTCCTCCTCCTCCTCCTCCCTCCTCCTCCTCCTCCTCCTCCTCCTCCTCCTCCTCCTCATCCTCCTCCACGTCCTCCTCCGCCTCTTCATCCTCCCCCGCCTCCCTCCACAGCCCGCCCCATGTCCCGAGCTTGTGGCAGGGTCATCAGCTCGTCGTTGTCGCTGTCGTTGTCGTCGTGGCCGTCGTCGTAGTCGTCGTCTTTCTGGGTCGGCGGCACGGGCCGCAGGGCCTTCACAATACAAGGAATAGCAATATGGTTTGCTTCAGGAGCTCATCTGTTCCAGATCGCATCGGGGAAGCCTGAGAAAGTGCCAATAAGCACCCAAGACGGACCCAGACTGAGGTCGGGCCTGTCCCCCTAGAGGGATTGTTTGCACGAAGAATGAGAAGTACTCAAAAAATGCTCAAAAGATGCCCAAAAATACTCAAAAAATAGTCCCCCGACTATGTTTTGACAATGTTTGAATATTCCCCCTGTAGAGGAACAGGCCCGACTTAAACCCAGACGGCCCCGAGAGCGCAGCTTCCTTCAGTTTCCAGGCGGCTCCAAGACAGCCAAAGATCGTCCCAACACGGCTGCAAGATGCCACATGCCCACCCAGGGACGGCCCAAAACGCCCCCAAAAAAATGATCGAAGAGGCCCCGAGACGCATCCAAGAGACGCCCGAAGAGGCCTCGCGCGAGGCCATCTGAAACGAAAAGCGTGGGAATACAACAAAGGAGAAGTAATGGCCTTTGGTTCTGGGGCCTTCCCTCTTCAGATCGCATCGGGGGCCGCCTTTGACCTTGCTCTGGTGGGCCTGGACCCTCAATCAAGAGCAGCGTCTCGCAGGAAAATGAATCCCGCTCTTCGGCGGCAGCCTTCTGGAGAAGCGGGACAGTACACTCAACCCCGCTTGTTAGAGAGTCAACTTGAACCATGGTCGAATGGCACACCTCCAGCAGCAGCTGGGCACCAACACTGTCAGAGACGGCCCCAAGAGCGCCCCAAAACAGCTACAAGAGCAAACTTGTCGACTGCCTGATGGATCCGAGACGGCCGAAGACCTCAAGAGAACATCGACAAGACGCCCGTCAGCGCTCCAAGAGAGTTCCACGAGAGCCCATCAGAGGGCCCCACGAGGCAAAAAAAACACTATCCCGAATGTGCGTGTGTCTCAAGACCAGCGAGATCCTTCCCAAGAAGAAGAAGAAGAAAAAAAAAAAAAACTACATAAACAGAAAGAGTTAGCACTCCGCGCGGATTTCTTGGATCTGCACTGGACCCCCCCTCCCTGGCGCGCGGAGGGCGCCAGGGGCGCCGCCGGAGGCGCCCCCGGTGGGGGCCAGCGCAGCTCCAAGACATCCGCGCGAAGTGTCGAAAATTTATTTTTATGTGGTTTTTTTCTTCTTCGATCCACAGATCGGCGGACCCCGGAAGGCAGCCCCAGAAACGTGTTTATGGGAACGAACGATGGCATAAACATTGAAACTCGGGGGTCCGCGCGGACTTCTCGGATCGGCGCTCGACCCCCCTCCCTGGCGCGCGGAGCGCGCCAGGGGCGGCGCCGGAGGCGCCGCCAGGGGGCCCCAGCGCCGATCCGAGAAATCCGCGCGGACCTCCGAGGTTTCATGTTTATGTCAGGGCTCGTTCCCATGGTGCTGCAAGTGCCGCCCTGCCTGGCCTGCTTGGCCACGGGCCGCGTCGGCTCCGCGCGCCTCGCCTCTGCGCCCGCCGGCCCGCCCGCCAGCCTCGCCCCGCCGGCCCTGGCCTCCCGCCTGCGCCTTCGCCGTCGCCTGCTTGCTCTTCGCTCCCGTCCTATCCTCCTCCTCCTCCTCCTCCTCCTCCTCCTCCTCCTCCTCCTCCTCCTCCTCCTCCTCCTCCTCCTCCTCCTCCTCCTCCTCCTCCTCCTCCTCCTCCTCCTCCTCCTCCTCCTCCTCCTCACGTTCCCCCTCAAAGGCGGTGGAAGGCAGCTGCCCCGACCAGGCGGCAGTCGACAACGCCACCGGCGTCCTGAAGTCCAACGGAGGCGCGGCAAACGCTGCCGGGAACTGGCGGCGGACATCTGGTGAGCTGTGGTTGGGAACCCGTTGAGCTCTCCTGGTCCAGGCCCTGCCCCTGGGCTGCGTTCTCCCCCGCCCCGTGCCGCGTCCGCCCGCCGGCCTCCGCCGCCCCTTTCGCGACTCGCGCCATCGTCCTCCATGCTCCTCGACCCTCGAGCCGCCATCCTCGACCCTCGATCCTCGACCCTCGATCCTCGATCCTCGAGCCGCCATCGACCCTCGACCCTCGATCCTCGACCCTCGACCCTCGATCCTCGACACGCGATCCTCGACCCTCGTCGTCCTCCGTGAACCTCGACCCTCGACCCTCGACCCTCGATCCTCGACCCTCGGCCCTCGACCCTCGAACCTCGAACCTCGACCCTCGACCCTCGATCCTCGAGCCGCCCTCCTCGATCCTCGACCCTCAGTCCTCGATCCTCAGTCCCCGATCCTCGATCCTCGAGCCTCGATCATCGAACCTCCGTCCCTCCCCCACGGGGGGTCTCGGTGTCTGGGCCACACCTCGGGCCCCACGTGGCCGTTGGGAGCAACCTGAGCACCTCCAGAGCGCTCTCGACAATGGGCGGCGGGCGAAGGGGGGGAAATGAGAAGGAGAAGGCCTTCAAATAAGGCGGCGGGACTTCTCCGAAGCCCTCGCGCCGCCTTCTGAGAAGTTGTTTCTGTCTTCCGAGGCTTCTGAGAAGGCCCGCCCCTTCTCAATTCCCCCCCTCGCTCGCCGCCGAAACAAGGCGCGGCTGCCAAAAAGCGTCGGCGTTCCGAGGCTGGAAACACCAGGAGCACCACGAAAATGTAAGGACATCTCCGTATTCGACATTGGAAGTCTGGGAAGGAGGAAGGAGAAGACGAGGAGGCGGAGGAAAAGGAGCTTCCCTCCCTCTATCCGATGCTCGGTCCTCTAACCTCGATCCTCGATCCAGATCTTCGATCCTCGCTAGAGTCTGGACAGGAGGACGCTAGAAATAAAGGATCAGGACGGAATGCGGTACTTCTAAAGTGCGCGGAATAAAGCAATGTGTATAAGGCGCGAATAAAACGGGCGCGGAAAGTCGACCTAAAATGGCGGGGAAAACCGTTCCTGCACCCAGCAAAGCATAGGAACCTCCCGCTCGAGTAGGACGAGGAGGAGGAGGAGGAGGAGGAAGAGGAGGGGGAGGAGAAGAAGGGAGGAGGAGGAGGGAGGAGGAGCAACAAGAGGAGGAGGGCTGGGAGGACGAGAAGGAGGAGGAGGAGAAGGAGGACATTGGAGGTCTGGGGAGGAGGAGAAGCAAGGCGGAGGAGGAGAAGGAGGAGGAGGACGAGGATGAGAACGAGAAAAAAGAGGAGGACGAGCAGGAGGAGGAGAATCCTCGATCCTCAATCCTCGATCCACTATCCTCCCACCCGGCCAGGGGCGCGCCCTGATGCCCTCGCTCTCGAACCTCTCGGGGGAGTAGGTGGGCTCGCAGGTCCGCACCTCGCAGAGCCGCACCGCGCCGGGGAAGCCCAACGGACGCTGGATCCTCGAGCCTCAAGCGTCTTCCTCCTCCTCCTCCTCCTCCTCCTCCTCCAGCCTCAATCGTTGCGCCATATAAATACATCCTTCCTGTCGCGCACCCCAGACGTGGACGGGCTGGCCGAGTCGCCTGACTCCCTCACCATTGATGATCCTGAAGCCTGATGTTGGCGACAATTTCAGAGACGGAGGGCAGATCCCTTTCAAAAAGTGGCTCTCGCCTTAGCGTTGCGCACATTCGTCTTGAAAGACTGCAACAGATTCAAATCTGGAAAGTAGGCCCTTTTCGATATGTTGTTATCGCTTCAGCGCCGCGCACGTTCGTCTTCGAAGTTTGCAACGGTTTCACGTATGGAGCGCGAGCCTTTTTCAACCTGTGGCTCTCGCCTTTAGCACCACGCACGTGTGTCTTCAAAGATTGCCTCAGCTTCAGGGTTTGGAAGGCGGGCCAGTTGTTTACTGTGGCTCTCGCCTCAGCGCCGCGCGCACTCGTCTTAAGAATTTGTACGAGTTCCAAAGATTCGTAAGGTTTGTATCAGGACTTGCATGTTGGCACGACTCAAGCGAATTAGGATCGTCAGGAGGTAACCGTCAAGTTTTTTTCCCGCGGCGTGGAAATCCCAGGAACCGTGTTCTGGCAAGATTTCGGCCTGTCGAGACGCAACAGGGCCGTTACCAAAATGGTGTTGGTGCTTTGTCTGTGCACACCTGTGGCGCAAAGAAGAATACAACATCATGACATGCACAACATGCGCATTGAACTAGGCGGTATCAAAATGACGATTATAACCCATAGCGACATGGAACCGACTCTGCAATCCCTTGAAATCCTGGAGTTTGTATTGAAAAACGGCGGTATGCTTCACAAATCTGCCCCGGGCAAGTACGACACGAACGCACGGGCCGAATCGGCAGCCAAGCCTGTAGGGCGGGGTTGGCGTTCATTTCTTGTGCATTCAAATGCGTTGCCAAAGTATTGGCATCACGCTGTCCGCCCGTGGCGTATCCACAAGAACGCAGGCATCAGAGCCCATCCTCGCACTAACATTGCTTCCAGCGTGCCAATTTGCCAACTCGGCCAAGCTGCGCGTCCTCGGGAGATCTTGTCAAAGAAATCACTTCGTCCGAAAGCACTCCTGACAACTTATTAAATTTCGGATACGACTTGTCCACAACTGGAGGTATTTGTAATTACCTTGTTCAAGGACTCTGACACGCATTACTTTTGCCAAACGGTCTGCGTGCACTCGTGTCTTCACCTGTTCCCGCACAACAGACAATCTGAAGGTCACAGGAATTTTGCGAAAACTTGCCCCCCTTGGTTGGCGAATCTGCCGCTCCAGCATCGGGAGGGGCGGGCCCAAATGAGTCTGGAGGACTATGGCGAAGACACGGGGAGCCAGGAGGAGGTGCAGGAGGGGAGGCACTTGTGGAAGTCGTCGAGCATCTCGAGTCGGCCGCGGTCTGCCAGAAGGCTTCTGCGGCAGAAGACGACAGGAAAATCCCACTTGGCCTGCCAATCCCGGCGAGGACGGCCAGGGGCGCCGGTGCACGCTATCCCCTGCCAGGGCTTCCTCGGTGAACGCTATCTACAAGGTGGGGGATAGGGTGCAATGAGCAGGCCGACGGTGCCACATCGCACGCCATCTCTGCAAAGCCAACCGTAATTTCCAAGAAGCTACTGGATCGGACAGGAAGCTCTCGGCCAGAGCATACGAGGTGACCCAGTGAGGTACGACGCAGCGCAAGAGCTGCAGCACCGTGACCCATCATGACCGAGGCCCCAAAAACTCACCTTTCTGCCCCGCTCTTCGAGCCGGATCGATCCGCGAAGGTCCTGGGGCCCGACACTGGCGAAAATGCCCACCTGGCCATCGCTCGGACGTCCGTTCCCTGGGATTTTTGTTTCGGTTTCGTGCGTGGCTTTTTCGCCAAATGAGCAAGGATGCTCCTCGATGGTCCTCGTCGAAAGAAAAGTGCACACGTCCGAGCGATGCCAAGCCACTGTGGAAGAGAACCGACGCCCGGATCGCCGGGATCACCGGGGTTCCAGCCGTGGCGGCAAGAGACCCCCAGGACGCCAGCAAGCAGGAAAACCGTCCCCCGGCGGACAGGCGCTGGACGAGGGAGCCCCGCCGACGGCGCACCACATCTGTGACCCCCTGCGACTTGAGCTCGGTCACGTACCTGCGGCGAGAGATGGGGGACCCCCACCTTCTCCGAGGGACAAAAAGCGGCACCACTGTAATTTCTCGGAGGTCCGCGCGGATTTCTTGCATCGGCGCTGGACCGAGCATGTCTGTTTGTGTTTATGTTGGGCCATTCTTCGACTCCCCTGAGATCTGGCGCCGCAGTTTTGTAACACTGGGCGATTTCGCCTTGTTTCGGGCCCCAGGTCCCTCACGTATCGGTCGGGCTCGAGAAGCGCCGCAGAAAGATAGGGTCTTGGGGTCCAGTTGTGATTTCCTGCGACTTGCAACCCTTCGCGACGTCGGATCTCACACACACACACACACACACACACACACACACACACACACACACACACACACACACACACGCACACACACACACAATCCTGGGCCGTCCAGGCCAGATCCGTGACGAAGTACTGCCTCAAGGAAAATTCGGAAGATCGTAGACTGGGAGGGCGGGGCCATATCAATTCCCGTCTCGGTGCAAGGTTGGCAATGATCCACTCCGCCGGATCAAAGTTTGTTTCCAACCATCCTGTGGTGATGGGTCCTCGTTTTGAAGAGACAGCGCCCCGCGTTTCCTCTCCTCCTCTCCTCCCCTCTTTTCCTCCTCCCTCCTCCGCCTCTTTGCCGAGGCCTTCCCCACGTCATCATTCCCTGATCGTCCTCATCATCATCAGCATCATCATCATCGTCACCATCATCGTCATCGCAACCATCATCATCAGCATCACCATCGCCGTCAGCATTATCATTTCGGAATTCCAAATGAGATCCACACCCCTCACACTTTCCGCGCCCCCCTAAGGAGTTCCACCAAAGGCCCCAGTGGCAAAGATCGCATGGCGGCCCCGCCCCCATTTCGACACACCCCTCACACGTTTCGTGGTCCCAAAAGGAGTTCCACCAAAGGCCTCCGTTGGAAACTTCGCCCCATGTCGGCACACACACACACACACACACCTCACACGCTTCGTGGAACCAAAAGGACCTCCACTGAAGGCGTCGTTGGCAAAGTTCACGTGACGGCCACGCCCATATTTCGGCACACCTTCACCCGTCTCGTGGGCCCATAGGGAATTCCACTGAAGGCCCCAGCGGCAAAGTTCGCATGGCGGCCCCGCCCCCAACTCGGCACACCCCTCACACGCTTCGTGGTCCCATAGTGAGCTCAACCGCAGGCCCCAATGGCAAAGTTCGCACGGTCTCCCCGCCTCCATTTCGGCGTTTCCGTCACACGTTTCGCTGGCCCCTTTGGGAGCTCCACAGGAAGCCCCAGTGGCAAACTTCGCATGGCGGACCCGCTTCGATTTCGGCACACCCTCAGACGTCTCGCGGCCCCATACTGAACTCCATGGGAAGCCCTTGTGGCAAAGTTCACACGGTGGCCCCGCCCCCATGTCGGCACACCCTTCACACGCTTCGCGGCCCCATAAGGAGCTCCGCCGGAGGCCCCATTGGCAAAAATAGCTAGCGGCCCCGCTTCATGTCAGCATACCCGTCACACGTTTCGTGGCCCCATAAGGAGCTCCACCGAAAGCCCCAGCGGCCGGATTTGCGCGACGACAACGCCTGAATTTCGGCAAGCACCTCAAAGCTCCGGAAGGAGCTGGGCTTCACCAAGGTTTATCCGCGAGGCTTGACCTGAGGAGCGGCCCGCCCCAGCCGCGCCTCTCTCGACCGTCCGTGTTTTTGGCCTCGCGCCGCGGACAACCCGCTGGCGTCGCTGGGACCCTCTCAAGGCGACCAGCGCGCGTCGCGGGAACTCCGTGCTGCCCTCTGCCCAGCGCCTCGCACGCCTGTCGTCGCTTTGCCCAGCGGCCAGCGCCTGGCCCCGCTATCAGCCAGCACACTAGCTCTCTTTGCTCTGCGCCGCGGACGACCCGCGCGCATCGCTGGGACCCCTTCGGGGAGACCGGCGCGCGTCGCGGGGACTCCGTGCTGCGCTGCGCCCGCAGCCATGGACATTGGCGTGTGCAGGCAAAGAGGGAGCTAGAGAAGGGAAGGGAGCGGGCGCGATCCCCGTGAGGGGCGTGCAAACATGGCCGTCGCGGCGCGCGGGCGCTGCCATCTGGGGTTCCGGGGAAGCTCCCTCCGGCGGCCACGCTCAGCGTCACGAGTACTCAGAGTCGGTCATATTCAAACCATTCCCATTCATATGCATTCGCACTCGGGGTAGTCATGCTCACATTCATACACGTAGACTCTCTCGCACACAGACTCATTCACAGTCAAACTCACTCGCGCTCAGACTCAACCGCACTCAGTCTCTCGTATTCATGCCTATCGTCATCGCTCGTATTGTATACCCCGCCACACATCCAGCGCACCCGTCACACGGTTCAAGGCCCCTTTAGGGAACGCCACCGAAGACGATATGCACAATTGTGGCACTCACAACTGCATATGGTTGGGTCCTTCGCCAGGCTGATTTTGCGTCAGTAGGACGGCACCAAATATACGTATACAGTGATCCTGGCCAGGCCCATCCTGGACGCCCTCCTGGCTCGGCCAGGAAGGCGTAAGCACCGACCATGGCCCCATGCTTCTTTCACGGAGAGTGATGTGGCATTACCGACAATTTGATTCAAGGAAGGCGTCAAGTTTCAGACGGCAACGCGTTTTCCCCACTAGAAACCAAAAAATGCAACTGAAGGCGACATCGATTGCTTATGTAAGGCAAGTCTTCGGAAAGCAAAACATGCCCTCGGTGAGACATGCTTGCGCTCAGGGGAAGGACGCCACTTCAAACATCAACACCAACATGTGTTATCAGCAGTTTGCCTTGCGTTCGGAAAGTTTGTTGCCATCCTCATTATCCTCTCAATCCTTCTCTTCCTTCTCCTCGTCACCGACCTCCTCCCCCTTCTCCTCCTGCTCGTCACCATCACCATCATCATCACCATCATCATCACCATCGTCATCAGCAGTATCAGCATCAGCATCATCATCAACATCATCATCATCAGCATCATCAGCATCGTCATCAGCATCAGCATCATATCATCATGCTCGGATCCAACATGATTTTCCGTGTCTTTTTCTCCTCCACTCCTGTCGAGGCGGATGAGGACGAGGAGGAGAAGGACGGGTCTACCGGTCCCTGCATGCACAAGAGCACCCTGGGCCTTCACTTGGGGGGGAAGGCGAGGCGACGGGGCGGGGCGGGGAAGGAGGACGGGAAGGAGGGGGGGGGGGGGGAGGACGCAGGGAGAGAAGGGATCCGGAGGGAATCGGAAGGAATGGACGCCCCCCCCCGGTGCCCGGCAGCCAGCTTCGTCGACAACGACCACGACAACGACAACGACAACGACAACAACAACAACAACAATAATAACAACAACAACCAACAACAACAACCACCACCACCACCACCACCACCACCACCACCACCACAACAGCACAACAACAACAACAACAACAAACAACAACAACAACAAACAACAACAAAACACACACACACCACCACACCACCAACCACACACAACAACAACAACACAACAACAACAACAACACAACAACAACAACAACACCAACAACAACAACACCACCACCACCACAACAACAACAACAACAACAACAACAACAACAACAGCACACACAACAACAACAACAACAACAACAACAACAACAACAACAACAACAACAACAACAACAACAACAACAACAATAACAAGAACAACAACAACACAACAACAACAACAACAAGAACAAGAACAACAACAACAACAACACAACAACAACAACAACAACAACAACAACAACAACAACAACAACAACAACAACAACAACAATTACTAGCACGTGGGGACACTCCGTTCTCACCAGTGCCAGGGTTTTCATAGGAGGCGGGCAATACCCCCACTTTGTGGGGGGGCCGGTTCAAGCTCTACCAAATTTCCAAACGACTCTTCGCCACCACCCACACCCAGCTTCCCGCCCTATGACGTTCGGACACTTCACTTCGTGGCATGCGGACGACCGTGGCTACTATTCAGGGCCCCGCGGCCGACGACGACGGCGTGCGCGCGCGAAGAAAAAACGAATGTGTCCCGCATGGTATTATTTGACAGGGATGATGGCCCTGGCAGGTGCGCAACCGTTGTTGCAGAAGTTCGAAAAAGTTGCTCGCAAAAGCCCTTTTGACAGAAATGTTAAAAAAGTGTTGGGTTTCCTACGAATCCGCAAGAGCGCGCGGGATAGAATTTTCACAACTTTTTTTTGAAAAACCATTGGGTTTTTGATGTTTTTATGTTAAAATCGCTACGAAAACTAAGGTTTTGGAAGGATTTCGTCTTGCGCGCGCGAATGTGCACTTTGTGTCATTTTTTGCAATGGATTCCTGAAGTTTGGTTATGTTAGAACAAGAAATGTCATTTTATATTGCTTTTTGCAAGGGAAAGCGGGGGGGAACAAAACAACCGGATCTGGATCACATCGTTTTGTCAAGGGCTTTCGCTCGAAAATGATGAAAATGTGGCTGCGGCCTAGGCGCGGCGGGGGGGGCGTGCACCAGGGGTCCCAACAATAATTATTCTTTAGAAGTAATAATGTTCAACGACAACAGCAGCAGCAGCAGCCGATACCCGTCCTCTTCGTCTCCGATCGTACCCCCTCTGGGGGGTACATCTTCCTGACCTGCCACGTGTGTTGGGCGCAGCCCCTAACAGAGCAAGAGGTGCGAGAAAGGAGAGAGTCAGAGAGAGCACACGGGGCTGCACTGGGGCCACGAAGGGCAGCAATGGGGCCACTGAGGGCACGAGCGACTGGGGGCCACGAAGGGCGTAGATATGGGTCACAAAGGGCAGCGAGGAGGCCACTGAGGGCAGCAGCGGGGCCACGAAGGGCAGCAATGGGGCCACTGAGGGCACGAGCGACTGGGGGCCACGAAGTGCGTATGGATGGGCCACAAAGGGCAGCGAGGGGCCACTGAGGGCAGCATCGGGGCCACGAAGGGCAGCGACTGGGCAACAAGGGGAGGGGCCACGAAGGGCAGCAATGAGGCACAAAGGGCGCGAGCGAGCATGGGGCACGAAGGGCATGACCCTGATGGGCGGGCCGAGCGGGCGGATCGATCGTGAGTTCTGCGTGATTAGCCAGGAAGTTTCCAGTGAGAGAGCGATTCCTAAGTAAATTTGAGGAAGTCTCCAGCGAACGCGCGATTCCTGAATTGCAAGAGCGCGGCGCCTGAGTAAATTGCGAGGAAGTCTCAGGCGGGAGCGCGATTCTTGAGTAAATTGCGAGGAAGTCTCAAGCGGGAGCGGGGGACTGGAGTAAATTGAGGAAGTATCAAGCGGGAGCCGTTGTTGTTGTAAACCGGGGGCCACGGGCACAGTTTGAGTAGGAAGACTTGCCCTGACGAAAAACCGGGTGAGAGCGCCAGGAGGCACTTCAATTGAAAAAATACAATGTGCACCAGAGGGGGGGATCAACAATAATTATTCTTCAGTCGTGAAAAATCAACAACAATCATGTTAAGGTTGCTCGCTCTTGTCCGCTCGCGTGCCATTCAACACGTATATCCCGAGCCCTCGATACCCGCCCTCTTCGTCGTCGATCGTACCCCACTTGGGGGCACATCTTTCTTACCTGCAACGTTGACTTCGTGCAGCCCCCAAGGCAGGGGAAGAGAGGACGGATGGAAGGGACTCGGGGGAGGGAGGAGGACGCGAGGGTCGAGACCGGCGGGGCGCGCCAGGCTCGGGGCGCACGGAGCGAGTGGAGAAGCAGAGAGCGGCCGCCGAGGAGGGAAGGGGAAGACGAAGGACCCAACAACACATAAGCGTGTGCTTGGACAAATACCATCCGAAAGGTGACCGAAGACGACCTCGGGAAGGCCTCGAGATGACCCAAGGGCTACCAGGCTAGCTAAAGAGGCCCCCAGGAAGCTCCCAAGACGCCTACAACCTGCCTAAGAGACACCCGAGGTGGCCCAAAATTCATTCAAAAAGCCCCAAGACCCCACAAAGATGGGCTCCTGGGCTCCGAGACTGCCAAGACAACCACAGAGACCCCCACAGTGTCTTCGGTTGGCCCCAGAGGAGCCACCAAGAAGGCCGAAGAGGCCCCCGATTGAGGGAAAACTGTCCCCAATGCTCTCCCAGTTGCGTCCGCGGTGGTCGGGAAAACACACAGGCCGATGGTTTCACCAAAGTTTTCCCAAACCTTTGCCCATACAAGCGCTGACATCAGGAGGCGGCGACAGGGGCGTCTTCGATCATTCACAAATCTTAAACTGGATTGGCTTAACGCATGTTGCTTAGCTTGGATTTGATATGACTCGAGTAGCGCCGCTTACCCTCAAAGGTATTTATTATGCCTCAGCTGCCGCTGCCGTCACGTTGTCAAAGTCCTCAGTCTCATGCAAGAGGTCGCACGCAAAGTGGCAAACTTATGAACACCGCACTGGCCTCCAAACCGTGACTGCTCGCAACAGCGCCCAACGCACTGCACGGCGTCAACCCGCCAGTCGCTCCCTGTGATGCTCTCGTGGCCAGCCAAGGCAACAGCACACGCGCCTCCACCGCAGCCTCCTCCCTCCCGGCGCAGCCTCTGACATGCCCCCCCCCGGTGCCGCCGCACGGAGGAGGAGGAGGAGGAGGAGGAGGAGGAGGAGGAGGAGTCTGCCCCGTCCGTGCGCCACGGGGCCGAACCCCGCCGGGCCCTGCGGGAGCACTGTGCCGAGTTGGACTCCACGGGGGCCTCCATGATCACGATCCTGAAGTCACCTGGCGGCATGCTCGGAGGAGGAGGAGGAGTCGTACCAGGGGTGCGCACCATCACACGGCCCCGTCCCCGCAGGGACGCGTCGGCTCTGCCGGACGCGACCTGCGCGCAACCGCTGTTCCCACCGGGCGGGCCACGGGAGGCTCCGTCCTCCCCGGGGAAGGAACTGCCCGGGCGGCTACAGCTCGCAAGCCGATCGGCACGCACCTGCATGGGCACTCACCTCTCGGGAGCTCACGAAAGCGGCGATAGCTTCGCGGCTGGCGGCGCCGAGGCAGGGCCAGCGATGAAGAAGCGAACATGAAGCGAAGAGGGGGAGAGAAAGAGGGGAGGCAGGACGCGGCGGCGAGGAGTAAGAAAGGAGGCGGGGAGAGGAAGGAGAAGAAGGAGCACGAGTGCCCATTGGACAAACGAGCGTGGTCTCACGGGACAAATTACTCAATGTTTGGGGAGAGTGGGGAACCCAAGAGTACACGAGACCCTGCGAGATTTCACAATAGTGCCCAGTCGAGCGGTGCATCATGCCACACAATCACGGCAGCACCACTCGATGGCAGCGGTCTCGAACTCTGACCTCCACGCGCGCCAGATGAGTCCCGCCTGTTCTGGACGCCACCGGACCCCCACATGGGTCGACATGGTGTTGCTAGTGCGCTGCGTGAACACCGCGCTTCCGCGCCCAACGTTACAGATGCCAGGGCGCCTGCGTGGCTGAGCGTGCTTACTGCCTCGTTGCATACCTACGAACACTAGCGGGGGGAGAAGGGGGGAGGAGAGAGGGGGTGAATGGGGAGGGAAGACCAAAACAGGAGGGTGACGACGGTGATCAAAGAATTCATCGACTTTGGAAGATATGTCTGATAGTTTAGGTGTGGAGACGGTTCGTGAGATCGACTCCTGCGAAGCGGAAAGCTGGCAGCAGCGATGCCAGGACAGTGTTTCAGACTTCTGCTGTTGCTTTATCTGCCCAGTTCAGCCTGAGTCGGCCTACTCTCTTGTGCGCCCAATGACTGGGCTGCAATGCGACAGGATCAAAGGTTGCCCCATGAGCAGGGTGATTGGGCTCGGCTCGTACAGTGGCTTGGTACAGCAGAAGCTAGTTCCCAGCGTGCGAGGTGCTGAATCTGGAAGTGGGTCCATGTTCCCTTTCTCCCTATCGGAGCACGTCTTGGCCGCTCCGTAATCTCGTTCGTTCCTGTTGGTCTTATTGACATATGTTGTTTGCATGTCCAGGATGTTTCCGAGTGCTTCGAGCTAAGAAACTTCGAGTGCCCAGTCGATTCGATGTCCCGTGTGAGATGAGCTGACTCGAGACGGCACAAAAGCTGTACGTGAGAACTGCATGTTGCACATGAGCATTAGACCTCGCCAGGCAATCGGAACAAGTCCAAGCAACGCTCTACTAAGACACAGACATCGGCCACGAAACGTTCTACATAGACCACGCAATGTTCTAAGAAAGTGCTGCCGCGAGACCCTCAAACGTCTGCGTGAGCATGCCAAGATGTCGGATGCCGGATGCCTCTCCTTGTGAATGTGTGCGCGTGTGTGCGCGTCCCACTTCGAGTCGAGTTGCCTCCTCGGTTGTCTGGCCGCTGCACGTTCCCTTGGATTTACAGGTCCTCTTTCACACCACCCATCCTGCTCTCGGCAGCGTGCGACGCTTTGCACACTGTGCCTTCGACGATGTTCGATCGCAATTAGTACTTCCGTCTGCTATTCGCGCCTGAGGACCCTCTGCGCCGCCGACTTAGAAGCGTGCGCGTGTCCAGGCTCCACCTGTCCTGGACAGTCCGCCAGCCGCCGGTGCCGCGCTCAGCCTTGCCAGTGACGCCTGCTGCTGACGCCTCCTTCCCTCTCCCTGTCCCCTTCGGTGCTCTCATGTTTGACCGCGCTGCCGCCCACCATGGCCCGCTCCAGAGGCCTTGATCCCCCACCCCGCACAAACAGGTATGTATTGCTCCATTTCCGCCTCGGCGGCTCCAAGTTGGGGCTCTGAGGGATAAGGGGCCTCAAGGATGAAGTGCCTCAGACCGTGCAAATCCAACCTTGGACCCCTTCGTATCCCTGAGGGCACCGTCCCTCAGGGCCTCACCTCTGAGCCGCCAACCGCCGCCCTCCGCCCGCCTTCCGAAATCCAACCTTGGATCCCCTCCTATCCTTGAGGGCCCCGTCACTGAGTCGGGGAGACGTAAGACTCGGGTTCGGGGGACTCGGGTTGGCCTCACGGGGTCACCATGAAAACGACGAGACCCAGTCTGAAACTTGACGCGAGCTCCCGCAGCAGACATCCCACGAAAACTGGCCCGTCAGAACCCGGGGCGCGCCCGCCCAAGCGCGCCGGCAGGCCCGAGCTCCCGCGCCCTCGAGCCCTAACGTTTCCCCGACGCTGGGGATCGACGTGAACCAAAGCATGGCGTCGGGAGGAGGAGGAGGAGGAGGATGAGGAGGAGGAGGAGGAGGACGAGGAAGAGGAGGAGGAGGAGGAGGAGGAGGAGGAGGAGGAGCTGGAGCTGGAGCTGGAGCTGGAGCTGGAGCTGGAGCTGGAGCTGGAGCTGGAGCTGGAGCTGGAGCTGGGGTCGGCGGCACGTCGCCGACCGAGCAGCGGCAGGCCGCCCGGAGGCGAGACCCCTGCGCTCTCCCTGGGCGGGGGCGGGCGGGCCGGGGCCCCGCCGGGCGGCGAGAGCGGGGCCGCCATCGATAGGCAGAGCGCGCGCCCCCGAGGGGCAGCGGTATGGGGGGGGGGGACTGGCGTACAGTCGAGGCGTTGACCCAAGGAACCCTAAGTGAGGAACGAGGCCCCTATTTTCCATAAGTTGAACTTCGATTTCGTATCGAAAACATAAGGGAAACCTGAGGCAAGCGGTGAAACACTTAAGGAACACGGAGCCCCTCCCCAACGAAAAGGGTTCCTTCTTCAGGGCCCCGACTGTAGTAGGGGGGAACATCGACCAGGAATCGGCGATGCGGCGAAGTCCGCACGTTTCTGGGCAGGGTGGGGCTATGTCAGACCCCTGTCGGCGATCGATGGGCGACTGGGGGCCGCTCTCGACAGACGAGGCGCGCCCCCGAGGGGCAACGATCTAGGGGGGGGGACTGGCACAGGGGGGAGCACCGACAAGGCACCTGCACGGGCCGCTGCGATCCTGGAGGGTCCCACCGAGCGAGAAGCACAAGTGGGTGGGACTGGCTCACGGGGAGCCGCCGCCGCGACACGCTGAGCAAAAGTTCACGACCGTATGGTCCTCGGGGAGGGCCCCGGGAGGCCTCCCAAGTGGGGTCCGAGGACACGGGGTCGCAGGATCGCGCCGATGCATCGGCGATGCATCGGTGGTGCAGCGAAGACGTCGGCGGTGCATCGGCGAAGTCGGCGTGGAGATTATCAGGCTCCACATCGACCCGCATCGGCAATGCACCTGCGAGGCGGCGCGATCCTCCGACCCCACCTACTCGGGCCCCAGCTGGGAGGCCTAGGGAAGACCAGCAGAGCGAGGGAGGGAACCATGGAGGAGAGAAAAGAGACCGATACCGCCACTCCTCCTCCTCCTCCAACTCCTCCTCCTCATCCCTCCTCCTCCTCCTCCTCCTCCTCCTCCTCCTCCTCCTCCTCCTCCTCCTCCTCCCTCCTCCTCCTCCTCCTCCTCCTCCTCCTCCTCCTCCTCCTCCTCCTCCTCCTCCTCCTCCTCCTCCTCCTCCTCCTCACGGGCCTCTCATAGGGTGCGTTCTGACCAGGATTCCGAGGCGAACTCAAGCCATGGCGACGAGGGAAGGGCAGCGGCATCCGTGTCTCTTGTCTCCCCGACAGAAAGGGGCACGAGGAGCAGAAAGAGGAGAAGGGGGAGCACCGGGAGCAGACCTGGAAGCTGACCCCGACATCCGCTGACATGCTCTCTTCAATCCGCGGCCCAGAGATCCCGACATCTTCCATGGGGGGAGTTGTTCGGCCCGGATGCATGTTTGATGGCCTGGGGGCCCGATAGTGGGCCCCCGAGGCCAAAATCTAGGAGAAGCGCCCACATTGAAAAAACAGGTCGTCGGAGATCTGGGGCTTCGGGCCATCGCTCGCTTCTCCAGCATTAGAGGCCTCCTGGATGAGGTCGGAGTAGATGGGGTCGGAGGACCTCGCCGAATCGCCGATGCATCGGCGACGTCGGCGTGGAGAAAAGTGGGCCCAACATCGAGCCGCATCGATGCATCGCCGATGCATCGGCGATGCGGCGCGATCCTCCGACCCCATCTATCACCTCTCCCTGTGTCTAGGATCGGCGCAGGAGCGCTTTTTCTGAAACTTTTGTTTCACTGGGGTCGGGGCTTCCGTTGACGCTGGGGGCAGTTTGCGCGGCTCGCAACATAGCAACGCCATTCAGCGCGCGCGGGGGCGCACGCGGGCACTCAGAAGCGCGCAGCTACTGGGAGAGACGCCCGCAAGCGGCCATGCGAGACCACGGGCGCTCACAGGCACGCGGAATCACAGGCACGCGGAATCTACTCCGACCCCATCCAGGAGGCCTAGAAGCATCCGTTCGGGAAGATCCGGGCACCCCTGGAACGCCCGCGACACGGCGCAGCTGATGGAAACCACCCCAGGACACGAAAACCCCCCAACTCTCCGCAATCGAGGAGAAACGCCCCACTTGACAAGAGCATCCCGTCGCAGGTCTGGGAACGAGTTCCGAGGGGCATCCAGCCCTGGCGACGAGGAAGGGCGGAAAACGCCCAAGCACTTCGACCGCCCCTCCAACCTCGAACCTCGAGCCTCGGGCCTCGATCGTGGATCGCTGAAGCGAGGGCGGCGGCAGCCGCGAGAGCGGCCGGCGCGGCGTCGGCGGGCGCACGGTGCTCCACGCGGCACGTGCCCGGCGGTCTGGGCACCCGGTCCATGCTCGCCCATGAAAGCTGGGGGCGCACCCGGCGACAGCCCTGCGCCTGGGGAGGGCGCGGCGTCTCGCGGCTCGAGGCTCGAGGCTCAAGCTTCTGGGCGCTCTCGCTCGTCCTGGGGTCGACGTCTGCATGCTTCGAGCTGGGCGTTCTCGCCAGGTTTCGGGCCCCGGGACCCCCACGGATCGACACGGCTCGAAGTGGCGCAGGAAGATGAGGACGGGGGCTCTGGTTGTGATTTTTTCGCGACGCTGCACTTCTGTTCGCTACGTCGGATCTCCAGGGGGTCGGAGGCGCCCTGCTCCTCCTGGCTCCTGGCTCCTGGTGGCTATGAGCTTCGTCGAACGCAGCCCACGCCCCCTCCCGACCCACCTTCTGGCGTGCGAAGAGGGACCTTACGGACAACGGCACGCACGGCCGATGGGGGGGGCCGGCGAACGGAACGAAGAGGAGGAGGAGGAGGACGAGGAGGAGGAGGGGCGGGGGGCGGGCAGGCGGAGGGGCCGAGGGGGGGAGACCAGCTGGTGGTCCGCCGAAGGAGGGCCGGAGTGGCCCCCCCTCCCCCGCTGCACTCTGCCCAACCTCCTCCTCCCCCATTCGTTTTCCTCCTCCTCCTCCTCCTCCTCCTCCTTCTCCTCCAACTCCTCCCTTCGCCAGAGACTTCCTTACCATGTCTGAGCCTGAAGCTGAGAAAGTGGCACCAGCTTGCCAGATGGAGGGCGGGGCGTTGCCAAGAAGTGGCTCTCGCCTTGGCGCCGCGCACA